GGGCCCTGTCTAAAAAAAAAAAAAAAAAAACAGTTTAAACTAGTGTTAAAGTGACATCATCCATACATGTTCAACCCTTGGCTGATTTAGCTGTAGTTCAAAATTTGTCCCTGGTTAGGTATCCCACTCTGACACCTCAAGTGTACCTAGTATGCCTCTTCCTCAATCTTTAAACTAATTCTCATATTAGTGTTTGTAAAATAATTTGGAAGAAAAATCTAATATAGAGGAAGAAAAACCTTTGTGTCAAAGAACACATTAACTGCTTGCTTCTGACCAATTAAAATGGATAAGAAGTAACTATACAATGATTTTTAAAATATGTTTTTTTGTTGGACTCAAAGACTCTGGTACTGAATTGTTGCTTTGTTGCTGAAGTTAGATCCTGAAAGCCAGCATTCATAGTTACATTCCTAAAAAATAGTGATGGAAACTTTTAACTTATACTCTGGAAAAATGCCAAAATTAGATAAAACTAAATGTAACTGCTAAGTTTAAAAATAACTAAAGTAGCTGCTAGAGATTTGTCTAAATGAGAACACTTTTTTAAAACAATGACACGACACTTTAAATGTTCCCTCTGCATAACAATAGCCTATCAATTGACATGATTTAAGAATCCCTGTCACTACCCTCCCTAGCAGCCTAAGAAAGGCTGGCTTCATGAAAGACTATACATGCTCTGTGTAAACTGTAGCAGATCCAATCTTCAGACCCAGATTTTAAAAAATCCCACAGACTCAAGCTTGAGCTGTGAGAAACATCCCTATCCTTTATTTCTTCCTTTTGTTTGATACAGCACCAACGCACATGAAGAACAACTTGTGTTCTTTCTACCCTCTTTACAAATATGACCAGCTTAAGCAAAAGAGCATTATAACAAACCTGTCATCCCTCAAAAGTTTTGTTTTTAGTGATTAAAGAATAAGGAAGGACTTTTAAGGAAGAATACTGAAGAATAAGGAATAAGGAACAGGACTTAAGCAAGATGAGTGGCTAGCTTAAGTACTTGGGCACAGACAGGGAGGCAAAGAGCTAGAAACCATTTCCCTTTATAATGACCTCTTCATCCATCCTGAATTTTTTAAGAAAGGTCTAAAATTTCCAGTAGAAGTACAAACCTTATAAGTTTTATTGGATTTAACATTCTCAGGTTACATTTCTGGCAATGACAGTTTTGTTTCTAAAGGAAGGTCAATTAAAGAATCCCTTGAATAATGCAAGATATCTAACCTCATAAAATGTTTTGTCCCTCCTTACTTCCTAGCAATATAGAATTGATCCTCCATGACTTTAGACACAAAAGTGGATTGGGAGTCAAACATTTCATTACCTTAGTCATAAATCAAACATTTTTATAGATGGGAGGGAACATTTAATCTACTCTCATCATTTTACAGATAAGGAAACAGGTTGAAAATGGTGAAATGACTTATCCAAGGTCACAGACTAGGGTAATGCTGGAACCCGGAAGCAAAGTCCTTTTTTTTTTTCTGTGTCCCATTCCATCATAGTGAGGTAGAAATATCTTACACGTTTTTTTTCTTTTTCTACGCTGGCTCTCTTTAACCCTTGACATAAAATACCTAAATATCACACTCTCCCCTAAAAGCATTTCTATCATAACTTCTTCTTATATCCAACCATCACATGGAATAACTCTCCACTACATAAAACTGGGTTTACTATAATTGTCTTAGTTGGCCTCATTATACTTTAGTCAATTTCAAATAGGACAGAAACTTTTTTTAAAAAGTTCCTCACCTCTCTCCCAATTTCCTAATATTTCCTTGTTCACAAGAACTACAATTTCAACATCATGGACTGCTTATCCAACTGGAGCCAAAAGAAAGAGAGAAATAGAGAGGGGAGGGAGAGGGATTGAGAGATTCAATCTGACGAGTGATTGTTTTTGTTTCTTAATTCGGGGATTTCATTTCATACAATTCAGCAACTAAAAGGTATACATAATACCCTTCCCTGACACCAAGATACTGGCACAAACAAAATAACCTCACATTCTAAAGTACAAAGCTAGTTTCATAATGCATAAGCCATAAAGAAGCCACTGGAAAACACTAAGACCAAAGAGGTCTTACGTCTACCTCCTACCACTCATGAATTAGACTTTGTCAGTCTCAACCTTCCTTGGAAACCCACAGTGAGGTATTCAGTTAAGTCAGACAATTGGAAAGCCCTTAATGTTAAACCAGGAAATGATTTGTATCCAAATAAGTATAAAACTCCAAAAATGTGCTGGGCGTGGTGGCTCACACCTGTAATCCCAGTACTTTGGAGGCAGAGGTGAGAAGATTGTCTGAGTCCAGGTGTTTGAGGCTGGCCTGGGCAACTTGGTGAGAACTTGTCTCTACAATAAATCAAAAAAAAAAAAAAAAAACCAGCTGGGCATGGTGGCATGCACCTGTGGTTCCAGCTACTTGGAAGGCTGAGGCAGAAGGATCACCTGAGCCCAACAGGTCGAGGTTGTGGTGGCCATGAGTGTGCCACTGCACACCATCCTGGGCAACAGTGAGACTCCGACTCAAAAAAAGAAAGAAAGAAAAGAAAAGCAAAACTCCAAGAATGTAATGGCAACAGGAAATAATCATGAATAAAACTGAGGAACTATACCAGCTAAGTTTATGACCAATTCAAGCTTACCAGCTTCCTCTAGGCTCTCACTGTAGTCCTTTAAACTCAATTACTTGTGGCTATCCCTCTTAGAAAAGTTCTTTAGGTTCCTTTATGCGATTGTGTCCTACATCCTCTCTTATCTCTCTGATCTGCCTCATGGTCAAACTTGTTTTCATAACTGGTTCCTCCCATTTTTTCTCAGTTGTTCAATCATCAATCTTTTACTGATAACTCTCAAATATGTGCCTCATCCTGAATGTTTTTCCTGAGCTCCAGGCTCACATTCCTATCACCTTCTAGATTTTTTGCTCCTGGATATGCCCAGCTAGGTACCTCAAACTCAGCATGTCTAAAACAAAATTCATTGTCCAAACTATTCTTCTTGCCCTCCCTGCTCCCCATGGCA